GGGGGTGGGGGAGGGGGGGGGGCAGTGATTCGGTGATGGGCTTAGTTGGAGAAAAAAGAGAAAGGGGTTGAGAATGGGAGTGATTCGCTGGAAAAGGAGGTTGGGGAAGAATGAGGGGTGGTGGCTACATCAATAATGGTGGTGCTATGGCAGAAACAACTTGATAGAGGTTATAGGAGAAGAAGAAAGAAAACAAATGAGAGAAAAAGAGAAAAAAGGACATAAGGTCAAATGAAAAAATAATGAATAAAAAGAAAATAAAAAGTAGTATTTAAAACTGGCGTGGCGTCACCTGGTTGGTGCGTGTGTTTCACATATCTGTGTGAAACTGGTGCTTGTCATAAAAGGGGTAATAATTTCACTTCAAGCATATATGGAGGGTCATAGAACCCTTGCAAAGATAAAGGGTGCATATGGCAAATTGGTTAAACCCCAATGGGGTAATTATGTATTATCCCTTTATGTTTTCTTAGTACTTTAATCATTCAAATACTTCTGAATTTATTATGATGATTATGTGTGGCTAAGTCTCTTTATTCTAGGGTTGTGTTTAGCCATGAATATTGATGTTTGATTACTACTTTTGCCTTTAATACAGATTGCTATTATACGATTACTTTTTTAATTCTGTACTTAATTTCTTGATTGTCTAGCCAACAGTTACTATCAACTATCTAGATTTTGCTTGAAAAAAGTCATTTTTAAATTAGAGAAAAGTTAAAGAAAGCATGATCTTATCTCTAAAATTAGGGGACAGAGTTGTGGTTAGAATAGAATTATACCTAGTCACCATGTTTAATTGAATATTATGATCTTAATGCACCCTTGATAGATTAATTCCATAAAAATATAGGCATGAAATTATCCTGGACAGGCGCATAGTAATTCGATAGAATACTATAAGAACACATAATCCGGTCAATTAGCAACCATAAATGATTCGACTTGAAGGGAATTAGCTAAGACTCAAATTTAACACAACCTTGAAATATTCATCTCTACTGAAGTAACTCTAAATAATAATTATCTAATGTCCTAGATTGAATTCTCGTTTTACTTTTACATCCATAGTTTAGCAACAAAAAACTCAACCTTTGATATGCTTGGTTAAATAACGATTTTTGTTGATTTAGTAGGGTTTTTTTTGCTGGGCACAGTTGTATTCAAAAAGGATCAATAAGGGGGGCTAGGCCTAACCTCATAAAATACAACTTGGTGATTCCATCACCCAAAACAAACAACAGAAAAAAAAAAAAAAAAAAAAAAAAAAAAAAAAAAAAAAAAAAAAGGAACCAGAGGAGAAATATACGGAAGGGGGTTATCCTTCTGGGAAGATCGAAGGATACAACTCTAGCTGACAAAAAAAAAATTAGTTTTGTCGAATTTGGTTCTGATACTTGGCATTTGCCACTTATCCAAAAGGAAATAGCCTTTAGCACATGTAGGAAGTTGTTGATATGAGTTGATAGTCATGCTATTACCCGAGGTAGAGGCCAGTTTCGCAAGACAGTCTGCAACTTGGTTGCCTTCTCTGTAACAATGCTTAACTCTTACATTGTCATGTTGAATAGTCTGCAGCATTCTATCAATCGTTTGTTTGATTTTTAGATTGTTGGTGTCCCTATTTATCAACATGTTTGCAATCACCATAGAATCAAGTTCGAGGATAAAATTAGTGTAGCCTTGTAGCTTACACCATTTTATTCCAAACTCAGCAGCTAGAGCCTCCGCAATATTATTGTTATCACACTGGACAGCCTTCGAGAAGGCCATAATAAGATCACCGTTGCTATTCCTTACGATGCCTCCTATACCTGCTTTGTTGTTTTCTCTGATGTAACTACCATCGATATTAACTTCGATACATCCCTGATTTGGTGTCGACCACAACACTTGACTCCAGCTTTGCATTGGTTTCAACTTTTCAATTCTTAGGCAGAAATCTGGCCAAGGGAGGTGGTTGTCCTAGCTTGGTATAATCTTCGAAATGGCACCTTTGATATTCCAGATAGCTTGATGCACCATCATGTTGGGTTGGAACTTCTTCTGATTACCATATTTGCACGATGTCCATTATTTTCATAGTTCCCAGCATATTGTTAAAGGAGCTATTTGAAGGATTAAGTTATGGACCTTGTTCTTTGAGCTTGTTTCCCACCATCTCTTGAAGGTGCCCATCACCGGCTCTATTTGATGCCTTATTCCCAGCGGATTGCCAATTATATTCCATGTTATTTTTTCTTCCTCGCTTCTATTGAATACATGTTCCATAGTCTCCACTTGCGGCAAACAACAACAAGAACATCTAGAAACAATGTTAGTGCCAAATTTACCAATAATATCATCAAACGGTAGTCGCCTTTTGAGTAACCTCGAGGATAGGAAGGAGATTTTAAAAGGTATAGACTTTTGCCAAATCTTACTAATGAAGTTATTCTTCTGCTTTTTCATTCGCACTAAGTGCCAAGCCGATTTATTATTGAACTGACCATCTTCAGCTAAATTCCATATTGGAAAGTCCTTAAAATTTCTGTTGCTAATATCCACCTTAGTAACAGTATCCAATATGTGAGGAGGGATAGTGGCTGCCAATTTGTTGGTGTCCCAGGTACCTTCATGGATGGAATTTTTAACGAGTAGCTTGGGAGATTTAGCCAGGCCCTGAACTACCTTGGCCAAAGCACCTTTGCCCGTCAAGTTATCCCACCAGAAACTAGAGTTGCCTGCTTGAATTTCCAAATGATATTTGGCTCAGCTTTGGTCCTTGCCTTCGTCAAATCTCTCCAAATGTGAGAGTCAGATGGGATAGGAACTTTGGTAACCAAGTGAGCTCTTTTGCAATATTTAGCAATAAGGAAAGTGGCCAAGAGGGATGGTTGAGTCCTGAATCTCCACCATCTTTTCAGAGAGAGCGTTTCAGTGATATCTTCCATTCTCCTGACCCCCACACCCCCCTCATCTTTAGGTAGGAAGAGATTATTCCATGAGAACCAGTGATAGTTATTTTTTCCTTCAGAAGCCCCCCAGAAGAAATTGTTGAAGTGTTTTTCCATAAGCTTGATGATGCCTTTGGGAGGGTTCATAACAGATAAAATGTAGGTGGTCAAGGATTGGAGGACATGTTTGATTAAGGTTATCTTCCCTCCGTAGGAAAGCATCTTCCCCTGCCAACCATTGAGTCTTTTCACAATTTTGGCTAGCATGCGATCAAAGTTGCTAATTTTCTTCCTACCATTGTGGATTGGACATCCGAGATAATTGAAAGGGAAGGGCTTGTCCATATAACCAGAATTTCTTCTAATTCTATTAATTCTGCTAGCAGAGGTGTTCAGACCAGTAACAAAGAAACTCTTGTCGTTGTTCACTTTTTGACCTGATGTTTTTTCATACCTTCTTATCCGACTCTTAATGAGTTTTATCGAGTGCTTATCACCTCTAGTGAATATCATTATATCATCGGCATAAGCAAGGTGAGTAATGATATGCCCTCTATGGTCTATGGATAATGGGGTGAAGTTGTTGTGAGTAGTAAGATTGTTTAAGGACCTGGACAGTACCTCAGCTCCAACAATGAACAGGGAAGGAGATAGCGGGTCACCTTGTTTGAGACCTTGCGAGGATGTGAAGAAGCCTTTTCTGGACCCATTAATAATGATAGAATACCACACATCACTAACCAATCTCCAAATTATATCAATCCAAGCTTCTGAAAAGCCAAATTTTCTCATGACGGCCATTAGAAAATTCCAGGACATTCTATCGTAGGCTTTAGCCATATCCAGCTTGATAACCACATTACCCCCATTGTTGTTCTGCCTTATGTTGTGGACAATTTCTTGTGCTAATTAGACATTGTCAGTAATCATCCCATCCTTGACGAAATCACTTTGATTAATGGAAATTATTTTCTCAAGCATAGGGTTCAGTCTTCTAGAAAGAATTTTAGAAATGATTTTGCCGGTGAAGTTGCTCAGGCTAATAGGCCTGAACTCAGAGAAGTTGGTTGAGGAGTCGACTTTGGGAATTAGAATCAGACATGTATGATTATAGAATTTGGTCATGCCCCTTCCATTGAAATAGTTCTGCACAAAGTCTACAATATCATACTTGATAATATTCCAGCATTTTTGATAGAAGGTGCCATTAAATTCATCCAGTCCCGCTGCACTTGAAGCATTCATACTAAATACAGCATCTCTGATCTCATCCTCGTTAGGTATATCATTGAGCATATCATTATCTTCCTCAGTGATATATTTAGGGATACAGTTGAGGACCTCATGATTACTGAATTGATGTTGAAGGTTAAACAGATGCTTGAAGTGATGCACAGCCACCCTTGAAATATTTTCATCCCCTTGGACCCATGAGACATTGTGATCCTTGATCGTGTGAAGATGGAGCCTACATCTCCTGTTTCTAATAAAACTATGAAAGTATTTGGTGTTGCTATCCCCTTCTTCATACCATTTCTGCTGAGCTTTCTGTCTAAGGATCGCATCTTGCATACGTAGCCACTTGATGTATTCTGCTTGGCCTTTATTGAGCTCTTCTCTGGATTGATCTGTGTTGTTAATAGTGTCAATCTCTTCCAGGTTTACCATTTTTGCTTCCCATATGTTAACTTGTTCAAAAACATTTCCAATCTTCGCTTTCGACCATCTTGTGAGACTCTTACTAAGAAGTTTCAATTTCTGTTGTAGCCTCCACATGGGGTTTCCAGGAACTTGAATGCTCCAAATCTCTTCTACCAGGTTCATGAATGATGGTTGCTCGGCCCAGAAATCTAGGAATTTGAAGTATTTGATGCCAGCTTGAGGCTCCTTTTGACATTTGATGAGGAGAGGCCTATGATCTGAGCCAGCTCTAGCTAGGTACTTGACCATATTAATCTGGAAAAGTTGGGCCCATAGGTCGTTAACAAAGACTCTGTCGAGTCTCTTCCAAATCCTTTTTCTAGCTCTCCAGTTGTTGCACCACGTGAATCTAGGGCCTACAAACCCCAAATCCACCATCTCACAATTGTCCATACAGTTACTGAACTCAAAACTTCTGTGCATTCTGTAAGGATTGTCCCCTTTATTTTTATCTGGATCTAATATTATATTGAAGTCACCCCCAATGCACCAAGGACCATTGATGTGAGTGTGGATGTCTTCCAAACTGCTCCAAAGCTCTCTTCTTTCATTCTCAGTACATTTGGCACATACTGCTGTGAGAAATAGATCACAATTAGCGGGGGTGTATTGCATCTTGATGGTCAGCTGCTGCTCTTTATTGTCGACCACACTGGTTTGATAGTTCCCTAACCAAAGAAACCAAATCTTCCCATTCTTGTTGGCCATACTATGTTGAAAGCCAAGGAATTTCATATACTTTTCAATTTTATTAATGCTAACAAAAGGTTCAAATATTGCTACAAGCTCCACTTTGTACACGTTGATGAGTTTTTTGAGCCTGGGAATGGCTTTTTTTGATTTTACACCTCTAATATTTCAAAAGATAGAATTTATCATAAGTCGATGGAAGATTAGTTTGTACTCCCTTCCACATTGGAAGAGTTCTGCTTCTCTTTAGTTTTCTTTCCCATCTTTTTGCTTCTGTTTCTGCTCTTGCTCTTTTGGACCAGTGAGAATCCCTCATTGTCTTTTTGGTTGCTTTGGGCATTTTGCATTTGGTCTTCAGAAATCCTCACCGTAACCTTATTTGGTAAATTCACCTCTATCTGATGATCAGCTTTCTTCGTAGGGTGAGGTTTATTTGTAGATGACTGTGGGGATTCAAGGTCTAGTTGGACTACTATATTAATCCCCGCCATTACTTTGATCTCTGAAGGAACGCTGACTGAACCCTCATTAGTTGTGATGTATTTGGTTAGGTCATGTTGAGCTTGTTGAGTGTTGGTGTGCTGACTGCTCCCTTCCTTTTCTTGAACCATATTTCCTTGAATGTTAGAGGATTCTTGCACCACATGTTCTGATCCTTCAAACTTTCTATTTGTTGGACTGGATTTACTACACTCTTTGAAGTCGTTGCTAGAGTCGTTGTCCCTGTTATCATCATTGTTTCCTATATCAAGTTTCACACCAGCATTTTTTCATCCATTTTTCCTTGTTCTTGCTGTTGTCGATTGGCTTGATCCACCTTGCCTTTGTTAAACCTTCTGCTGCCGTTGACTTGATACCATATTGGTTTAAATGACACTTTGGATTTCTTTTGTGGGAGTCTCTTTGTTTTGCAGAATTTTCTCTTCTTTTTGGAAGTTCCGGTCTTAATGTCATTGATATCATCCGCTTGTTCTTTGTGTTGAGTGGGCATACTGTTTTGGATATTATCAATCTGCTAAAAATTTTCCTCCTCAGGAGTTTGTTTGGTCGCCTCCTTCTCTGCTGCTTGTTAGCTTCATTCTGCATAATATTTGGCATTTTCTCTGTACCTATGACTCTCCTGCCATCCATAGTTCCATGAGCCTTACCATTTTCATTGATTGTGGTAATATCTGCTTCAAAAGCCTTTTTATTCCTCTTTATCTCAGCCTTTTTCTCCTCCGCTGCTTTCTTTCTTTCAATGGCCCGGCAATTTAGCAAATTGTGTACCAATTTTCTGCAGAATTTGCAGTACTTAGGAATTCCTTCATACCGGAGTTTTTGAACAAATCCTTTTTGAGGAGCATTATCATATACTTGTCCCACATACACAGAATCTGGCTATGGTTTTAACAGGTAAATCTCCACTCTAACCTTAGCTACACTTGGTCTTGTTCTACCCCTAGTCACTAAGTCCATTTCGAGTGGAGTACCGACAGTGCTAACAACTTGTTTTACATACTGCCATGTATGCATATGAAAAGGAAGGATTGGAAGAAGTACCCAAACCGGAGCAATTGGAAGGTCCTCCTCCGGTTTAAAATCCGGTGACCACTTCTGAAGCCACATCTGTTGTCCCTCGATCTCTACAACTCGTTTGAACCAAACCATGGAGAAATCTTCTTCATTAGTGAAATCTAGAAACACATTGAAATTGTCATACACGCCAATTTTGGACGATCCTTTTAGCGAAATCAATTCCTTAAATTTAGATCTAATTCGATCTATTTGGGGCCGAAGTTTTAGAAATCTGCCAACTAGAGTGAATTTGCATTCGGAAGCCATGATTTCATAGTAGTCTTGACGCTTTGAACATGATTGTCGGCATACCATTGTGTGTGGTGTGTGTAGCAATTACAGAGTCTCGTTCATGGCGGTTAGGGCACACGGTTGAATTTGGGGAGTTTGTAACTGTGGTTGCATAGGAGATTTTGCCTTCAATTGCTTCAATGGTTTGCTTCGCCTGTTTAGTAGAAGCGTTTTGCCCATCCAGACGCGCCGGAATGGCGCTGTCCGGCGGGTCCATGGGGAGGCGCGTGTGTTTTACTCGTTAAAAAATGTTACCGTTGGAAGGAGGGATAGAAAGCGAGTTTGCATTGGTCAGTTGATTTAGTAGGTAAGTTAACACTAAGTCTGCTGGAGTATAGACCAAGACAAATGATGATCAAACGTTTAATATTTCATCAATTAATAGAAGTAAGGAGTATTAGTACCAGCAGTTAGTAAATGGGGTAGTAAGTATCAAGATCTGCCATGCAATGGAATGAAGTGACAAATGGAAGTGGGAAGAATGCACTAGGTGAAATGTTCAGACTGGTTTTATATTATCCTGTAGCATCTATATTATCTGGAAAGAACGCAATATGAGTCTTTCAAGCTAAACAAAGAAGTCCTCAAGTGCTCACACGATTGATAGTTCAGGAAGCAGTCTGCAGAGGAAGTTAGAAGCCAAGATCTAAGTTTTTATCCTTACGTATATGTGGTACAGAAGATGGAAAGCATAGGCAGTTGAGTTCTGGTACTTGGGACTATGTCCAAATTTCAGTTCTGTTTCTGGTCTTGCACATAGTTCTCAGTTGGTAAATAAAAAATCTCTAGTCACCGAAAATAGATACTCCCCCGTTTTAATTTATGTGAACATGTTTAACTGGGCACGGAGTTTAAAAAAACATAAAGACTTTTGAAATTTGTGGTCCTAAACAAGTCAAAAATGGGTCCAGAGTATTTATGTGGTTATAAAAACTTCTCATTAAGGGTACAATTGTAAGTTTAAGCTAAATTATTACCACATTTAGAAAGGAGTCATTCTTTTTCGAACGAACCAAAAAGAAAATAGGTTCACGTAAACTGAATTCTAGTGTAGTACTACCTAAATCAGACCAAGCCAAGTAAATAAATTCTTTTTAGTTACCAAAAAAAAGTAGCAACATCAGACCAAGCCAAATAAAAGCAGTGCACGTGTTACAACTATAATCCATGCATTGAAAGAAAAGCTGAAAAGTGTCATGATTAGCTGATCAGAAAAATAATACTATTACTATCTAACGATATCCAGTAATATTTTAATTGAGGTATCAGATGAATGTAGAAGAAGGGCAGATCCCAGGCCCCCACTTTTCCCAACACAAGCTACTCCAAAATCCAATGAAACAAAAAAGTGTTGGTGCTGTCTAAACTGTCTAGCAGCGTCCAGAGCTTCTACTATTTTTATTTCTGAAATACACTTTTGCCAATTTAAATGGGTAAGTTTATTGCTGTGAGAGGGAGAGGACAGAAATATTTTTCCATCCCCAAAAATTATTTATTGATAATAAAGACTTTGCCAAATCATACTCAAGGTCAATTAGTAAAGGTTTTATGCATAAATAGGATTAGGAGTAGCATGTACCTGTATCTTCTTGCAAGTTTACAGAGAGAGGATTCTGCAAAAGGAAAGAGGACTATGTTGGACGCAAAAGGAAAGAGGACTATGTTGGACACAGAACAAGTTCAAGAGTTCATGTCATTGCAATCCAACAACAAAAATGGCAGAGCTAATTACGCCCCGAAACAGGAAATATTGTACCACTCGACATGCACAAATGTTTAAATTCACAACATAGACTCCACTTGTATATAACTATTAAGTTCAATATCCCCATAGGAGATTTATTTAGTGCTCGAATTACAACATTCAACAAGCTGAGCCAGGCGCACACTTCAGGAACCACACAACCATCATATGGTAACATTTATTACAGCCTATAAGGATTTCAACTTCTTCGCCTCTAGTAAATTTAAGCAGCAGCATTAACTGCACGGCCAGCGCCTTCTGCTTGGATAAACGATTCAATATATTCTTTCCTGCATTATCAAAAAAAAATTCATTAGCTTCCACGCCCAAGACCGTTTCTGATTAACCAACTATAACAAGGACCAGATAGTAAAAATAGAGTATAGCAAGTGCCTAGAAACAGACCTTGCAGGGAGATGGTCATGTGGGCGATTGTATGGAGTCCAAATTGGGTCACCAACAAAGAGTCGCATTGCCTACACAAACCAAATATTATTACCAACACAATTGAAAACCGTTCCTCTGATCAAATATACCATGCAAGAAGTGCAATCAAGAGCAAGTGCCAAAAACGTGTCTTGACAGGGGAAGCAATAAAAGGAAAATGGAAATGCTCTTTTCATCATTAACCATGTATGTTAATGCATGCTCTTAAGAAGTACCTTAATGTAATTGTCTGAATCAAGTGTGAAGCGGTGATAAATTCCAGCAGGCAGAACAATCATTCCACCTTTCTTTACCCAGACACGAATCCAAGCATCATTCCGATCCCGGAGATCAAAATAACCTACATCCGGAAGTATATATTTAGAAAAAGCAGTATAGTGGGCAGCTGGACTTGCAAAGCCCAATCAATTTACTGCAATCATACCACTTCCTGCAACACAGTAACGGATCTCTTCGTCGGTGTGCAGGTGTTCTTCAAAAAAGTTCTTGATTTTCTCCTCGTAATTCGGTAGTTTCTCAGGGCAAACCTCACAGAAATCCTGAAGTAAATTGTGAACCCTTAATGCTTTGGCATTTCCCAAAACTTTAAAAGATAAGGACCACGATATATCAATTTAACAGATGAAAGGTCTCCATTTTGTAACTTTTAACATACCATGTAAGAATAGCCACGAGCTTCCCGAATTTTCTTCAACTCCTCGTCTGTCTCATAATTGTCAGCATCAAGTCTCCAGCTGAGCACTCCAAGCTCTGAAATATTCACACACGAATTATGAACGGAGTATGAAGGCAGGCCAAATCCAGCAATCAACTTGTAAGGAATACCTACACTATGCCCTAACGGCCTAGTTCAAGGTGCAAAGGTTAAGGGACTTGTGACTCAAGTCACAGGTTCGAGCCCTGCGGCATGCAAAGTAAGCCCTGTATTTAGGTAGAGGTTAGAGGGGGAGGACCCATTATGCCCGGGTTACAAAGGCTG